AATTAAAAACATCTAATTAAAGAATTTTTGTTTTGTTGTTTGGGGTAAAATTAAATCTTATAAAGCTAAGACCACATCCACCAGTGACTGGAAGAATGTCCCAAAAGTGAAAATTGTATGGTCAATATAAGGCATTGGAGATAATCCATCCAGTCAATATATCTCACTAGAGTAAACGGAAATAAGAGTGTTACAGGATGGAAATGTAATTTAATAGCTGAGTGAACACTTGATCAGCTTATTTCATCCTCAAGAAGAAAAAGGGTGAAGGCAACCCAGGTGGTTAAATTGTAATGCAGTTGAAATTCCATCACCCATGAAAACTGTAATTGGGATTCCACTTTTGGACTTGGCCAGCCCAGAAACAGATGTGTGTTCCAACGAGGATCACAGACTGCTCTCCTGGAGAAGAGCTCTTTAGAGTGAAACAGGGGTTTCAACTGGTTTCAACTCCAAAGAAGAGACTAGACTAAATTGAGTATAATTGTTCCAAGTGTTTAGAATTCCCAAGTTGGATTGTTACTAAATGTGTGGTTTCCCTTTCATTGCCTTGAAAAAAGAAGACAGCGTGACTCCTTCTTACTCTGTTCTTTTTTAAGTTTGAGATCCAACAGTTTGGCTAGAAATATCTCAGCCACAGTGAGTGAGGCTATAGCTCAAACAACAAGGTCAAGGTGAAGACCAAATATCATTTTGTGCGTTAATTCCCGCCCATTAAAAGAAGAGAATCAAATGTTTCTCATTACATAGCCTGCCTGGATGAACAATCCTTTGAGCTGAGTTCCTCGGGCACATTTTGGCAAGATTCTAAATTCATATTATCTAGCCTAACATGGAGCAGGTAGAGTTTCTTTAAAAAAAAAAAAAAAAAAACCCTGGCCAGTATAATTCTACCTAGAGAAACTGATGCCAGAAAACCTACAGTGGGCTTTAACCCAGACCACCGCTCCATTAAATAAATCCCATCCTCCTTAACAGAAGTCAAGAAACTAGCAAACAGGGAAACACAGTTGTCAATGAGCGGGGTCCACCCAACAGGAGATTAATGCCACATGGTTTTCAAGTGAATTGGGGATAAGTAAAAAGAATGCTCGTGCCAGTGTTGGATGTTTACATTTTATTCCTATCCAGTATCTCTTCAAACGAGGGTCTTCCCCACCTCTTTGCTTCCATCTCTCTTTCCTGATCTAGAGAGATGGTGTCCTTTCAAAGAACGGAAAACTGCATTCTTCAGCCCCTGGCAGCTTTGAGCATCGTTGGGTGATCTGTAGGACAAGCCAGGATGTCTTCAGGAAGGACAGACCTCTGTGTCTCCTGCCCTTTGGTTCGCTTTCTTTCCTCCTTGCCCCAAAGCAGCTACCTTTCCTAGGGAAGTTCTTACAGTCCATTCTAAGCCCTTTCTCCAATCATGAATGCCACAAAACCCAGTCTTTATTCATTTAAAACACGAAGCTGGCCCTCTTTACAAATACTCTGTTTCTAATAAACCCTTGTTGATATGCATCCATCCAAGAGAATAAAGTGAATGTGCTAGAGCTGGTGGTGTGCAAAGATCAGATCTCCAGACCCCATCTGTGTGCACCCAGCACAGCGCTGTATGTACCTTTAAAGCACAAACACAGAAACAGAGTTCTGCTGTCTGCATTTTTTTTCCTGGAAGGAATCATTAAAAAACTGTAGCAGCGTTCACCTTTAAGGACAGAGATGAGGACAGGAAGAAACTTTCGCTTTTCATTTCAGTGTTTCTGTGCTGCTAGAATTTTCTAACGATGTACATATATGGCTTTCATTCTTTTAACAAATCCAAGGGTTATTTGAGTGGTTACATGTCATTTTTTGTTTATTTTATTTTTGGTACTTTATTTTAAAAATTTATTCTTAAATTAAAAAATAATAAAAGGCAGGTACTAGTGCAAATTGCCTCTAGAGAGTGATTCTTTCTCAAATTATTCTACCTGACATGGTACTTTGTAACCTTATCATGAGTCCCCAGAACAGATCGACCAACACGCAGGGGGAACAAAAATGCAATCCTTAATGGGCTCTTTTGAAAAGTGTTTCAATTCTGAGTCCTCCCATCGACCATAAAAACGACTCCCCTGCCCTTTGTTAACAGCGAAAAAGTAATCATCTCCAGACAGGTGAAGCGACACCAGGGCTGGGCTTCCAGCAGGCCAGTGGTGTCACCGCATGGGAGGGTGCATTTCACAGACAGGACACCGAGGCTTGGCGAAGTCACAGGCCTCCTCCCCACTGAATGGAACAGGGGTTTCACCTAAGCTCGCTGGGACTTTCCAGGGCCCGCAGCCTCCAGGGAGGAGGGAGAGCCCTGCGTATCCCTCAGGACGTGACAAAGCGCGCTGGCCCTCTGACCAGATGCTGTCCATCCTCCGTGAACGCGCCCTCAGCGCCAGGGACCCTGGAAGGCCCTCCTCCAGCCACACCACACGGGGAGCTGCGGGGGACAGACTTGGAAAGTGCCTCCCTTGGCAGGTGGCAGCCTCCATCCTTCCTGGACTGCATTTTCCAGCTCTTCGCACCCCTGGATCCCAGTCAGCCCATACACAGAGCAAGACATGGCAGAGAAAAGAAGGATGACAGCAATGAGAGACGGATTCTTCCCATTTCTTCGGAAAAGGTGAGGTGCTTTCTTCCTGGCCCAAGCCAGCCAGTCCTCCAGGCAGCAAGGATGGATGTGTGAGATGCTGTGGATGACTGAGCACGTCAAGCTCAACTAAATACTTTATTCCTGTTATCATTATGAGCAGCCTCTCTGTAGGAAATCCTGGCAAAGAAGGCTGAGGACCCCAGGCTCAAAGTTTGAGCCCCAATCCTGGCTCTCTAATGAGATGGTGTCACCCAGTTTCCATGTCCAAACCCTGTGATCCAAAGCTTGCTGTATGTGGTCCAGAGAAATAAACTAGGTCTCTAACCCTCAATATTCCTGTTTATAAAATGGAACTTTTTGTATAAGCAAGAGACTTTGAAGACCTAGGAAGAAAAGCCTCTATATGAAAAAAAGCAGATATTCTTTTCATCAGTTTTGATGAATACCTCCAGCAGGTACTATTGCAGTGAGATGCAAGGAAAATAATTCCCCACCGGTTCCCTCCAAGCAGACAGCTCCACTTACAAGCAAAACCTTCCATTCGAAAATCTCTGCTCTCAGTTTTAGAAAAGCAAACAGTGGGAGGAAAAACAAAACAAGTAGCCAGAGACTCCTCTGTAGTGAGAAAACCCTAGGTTATTTGGTAGCCTGTGATAGTTTTCTTTAGCTTTAGAATGTTAAAAAGTGTTCTGGGAAAATCCTCCATTGTTCCTCACTGCCTTCTGCCCATTTTTTCCCTCTAAGAATTAACTTCATTTTAGGATGGTTTCTGCATTCTGTCTCTCCACCTCGAGTTTCCAGGGACCATCCCTGAAAATGTTCCTCCCCTCTCATTTTCTCTTCCACCTCAACCTGGGTTACAAAGTGCTAAGGAGTAAACCAATAAAACAAATCCCTCTTTGCAGGATCTTAGTTCCCCCAACCAGGGGTCGAACCGTGCCCCCTGCCTTGGGAGCATGGGATCTTAACCACTGGACCGCCAGGGAAGTCCCAGAACATTCCCTCTCAATAGTGTTTATGCTGGAAACCCAGGGGCTAAGTCATTGAGACATAACCTATACAACACTCCAGTCTGGACACAGACTTGCTTACCCTTACAAAGCACACATACAGACGCTTTCCTTTATTCAAAGGTAGCCACGGTTAACAGGTGATGTCAGACTCTCACCCGTGACATTTTTCTGACTACAGAAAGTGAAGTTTTATGTCCAGGGTCCTGCCACCAGTGCTCCCGAACTTGGGAGCAGTGAACGGAGCTTGTGTCCTGCTCTAGAAGACACTTTCTGGATTTTTCTGACCCCCATCCCTTTGCAAGCCAGAAGCCAGATTGCACCTTTGTACCCGGAAGCAGTTTGTCGTTTAAATTAACAAATGTGCTGACCCCTGAATACCAAAAAACAGTGCTGATGCATCTACCATATGCCAGATTCCCTCCTGTTGGGTGTGGAGGGGTAGGAGGGGGCACCTCCAGGGCACGCATGGTTTTCTAACTACAGAAAACACAGTGGCCCCAGTGCCCCTACTCCTACCCCAGTCTTCTTTGGGGTGACAGCAAAGAGAAGCCCAGCCACTGGGCACTGAGAAAACATCCAAACAAGAATATTTCCAGATAATATCCTTGGGGGGCGGGGGAGAAGGGACAGCTCACCGAGGTTTGGTTTGGGTTCATGGTTACAAAAATATGAAATAAAAACTGTGGCTTCTCCATTTCCCAGGTTGGAGCCCCTCGGTGAGGCCTGGGGCCCCCGGAGGGGTGGAGGCTAAAGAGAGGAGGGCCTGCCCTGGAGACTGGTCTGGTGCTCTCGGCAAGGGGGTGAGGGTCCGGGCAGTGCCAATAAGGAGAGGCAGAGTCGTGACTTGTAAAGGCCAAGGAGAGAAGACGGCGGACCCGGCTGGACCACAGGAAAGGGAGCCCACGTAGACGGGGAGTCGGAGGGAGGAAAGGAAGCGAAATAGAGAGGAAAATGAAGAGCGTGAAGGTGGGGAAGGAAAGGAGGCTCAGGAGGAAGGAGGGACGAAAGGGAGGAAGAAGGGAAGCGAGGCAGAGCGGGAAAGAGGGAGAGAGGGGAAGGGAGAGAAAGGGAGGGAGGGGCGGTGCCAAACAGCCCGGGGAGGAGTAGGAAAAGACGCTGGAGGCCCGCTGGACGAGGGAGGTCACGTCAGAGCAAAGGTCGCGGCGACGAGGATGCAACAGTCTGAAGCCAAAGTTCAGAGAAGCCGAAAACCCCGGCCGATGGAGGAAGCGCGGCTGCCGGGCGCGGGGCCGGGCGAGGCCGGGGCTGATGAGCACTTCGGCCGCGGCGAGTCCTCGGGTCCGCGCCCCACTGCGCCCGCCGCTCCGCCGCCGCCGCCTCCGGGCTCGGGCTTGGGCTCGGCTCACGGACGCGCGGCCCTAGGAGGTCGAGGCCGGGACGGGCAGTCCGTGTAAGCCCCCGAGGCCGTCGGGGGCCTTGCCGCCGGGGCTGGGCGGCTTCCGGTCGGCCACTGCGGGAGGAAGCACACGGCGTGGGGTCACTGCCGGGAGCGGCGCCGAGCGGGAGGCCCGGGGACCGCGATGCCCGGGAACACGGCAGACAGCGCAGGGTCCCGGGGAGAAGGGGCGGCGCGCGCTCCACATCTGGGGGTTGCAAGGAGGCAGCCAGACCGCGCTCCCCGGAGCCCTCGGCACCCACCCTTCGCGGCCCCGCGGAAGCCGCTCGCCCTCCCCGCCTGGGTCGCGGGTCTCCGCGCAAGGCCCGCCTGCAGACGCCCCGCGCCGCTCAGTAAAGCGGGCGCCGGGCGCAGGGAGGCGCTGCCGAGCCAGGCGGCCACGGGCGGGGCGGTGGTCCGAGCCCAGACCGGGGAGGGAGCGGGGAGCTGAGATCCGCGCACCCCGCCGCCCAAGCCCCCACCCACGCCAGACCCAGCTGGCGCACCGGCCCAAGAGGCTGCCAGCGCGTCAGGTCACGGTCCTCAAAGCAGCTCAGGGCCCGCGATGGGCCGGGGATTGGGGGGGGG